GTATTTTGAAATGTTTTCGCATACAAATGAGCGCTGGTGAGTATAAGCATGAAGATATTTGTAGTGATAGACGAAATGTGCCGACTTGGCACAATTTGCCATTCTTTGATTCATATATTTTATGAGAAATTAAAATTCTACTATTTGTTTGTATAGAGAAATATTGCAGCCAAGCTGTCATCACCGGATATGGCAACATACTTACATATTTGTTTGTTTTAAATTTGACTTTGATAGCAGCTTTGCAAATTGTAAATATTTTTGCATTTTCATTTATCTGTTTGAAACAGTCTCAGTCATACTCGTAAGCCAATAAAACATGCGGAGGAAAGATTAATGCATGCACTTGTGGCCAGAGATTATCTTATATATGTATGTACCTATATGTACATACATGTATGTCCGTACAGTTACAAGCATTGAAATAGTAGTGCCTATTGGCCAAGAGAGTTTTGCTTTAAATTTTGTTTCTTTTATATTCTCTGAAGTATAACGGTCCTGTTATATACAACAATAAGTGTTAATTACTTACCGTTACTTTTTAAAGCCAATTTTATTGGGATATCTGTTTTTATGAGCGAGCAATAGAATAGTAGTGAACGATAAGCTGATTGCAAACATAATTTTTAATAAAAAAAATTTAATTTTATCAGAAAAAAGTAAGTTTCCTGATCTTTTATTAATTATTCAATGCAAAAAGCAAAAAAAATATAACTTTGCACTTTTTTTTTTGGGCCGCGGGAAGCACTGAGTGACGAAAAACGAGAATGTATTCAATCTGTCATAAACAACGGTAAATCCTACAAGGGAGTGGAAAGAATTGTAGGGTGTTAAGCCACAACGACTCACAATGCAATTATTTATAAAAAAAAGACGAAAAAAGGGGCTCAATATGGATTCTTTCCGAGAATTTCACACCAATAGTTGTAAGATATGCCAAGACTCGACATAGAATGTCAGCTATGGAGATTCGGAATGAACTGAACCTGGCCTGCGGTGTTCAAACAGTGAGAAGACTTCTACATGAACATAATTCCGCAGTCCTCGATTACCGTTACCGTTATTAAAAACCGTTATTAAAAAAAATCATATCATTCGCAAGATTACTAGCATAACGGACCGACACAAATTCGTGGATATAATGCAGAATATTGTGATACCATTTGCTGAAGAGGACATCCCGCTGAAAAGGATATTTCAGCAAAATTATGACCCGAAGTGCACCAGTATAGTGGCAAAGGAGTGGTTTCGTGTCAATGGAATTGATGTCATAGATAGGTCAGCTCAACCGCCTGGCCTCTATCCTATTGAAAACCGTTGGGCAGACGTCAAGAAAGCCGTGTGGAAAGATAAACCCAAAAACAACAACGAGTTGTGGACCGTAGTGAAAAGACCACAGTCTCGTAGATTCTCTGAAGAAGCGATGTATTGCAGTTATCAAAAATCATGATCATGCATCCAAGTACTAAGATCTCCTATAGACGAAACTTGCAAAAATCTTTCAGTACTTTTTTTTTTAATTTTTAGTACTTTACTACTATTTTACTGCTCCCAAAAAGTTTCATACATAAAACATCTTTGTAAATAAAGATATCTTGTACATATTCAAATCTAAATATTTTTAGTAATAAACATAGCCTGGAAAATATGATCCACTTTTGCATTTCAATGGATGTTAAAACGGTTTGGCATTTTACATAACTCACAGATATGTAAAGCTCTAACACCCACTACTATTTCATTGCTCGCAGCTGTATGTACATATATATATGTATGCGCAAGTAGGTATTTAAATATATGTAAATATAGATGCATTGTATATAGTTTATACATATTTATAGATTTTTACTTATTTTTATAATTTATTTAATGCATGTTGACCTCTTTGTCGGCGAAAATCATTTAAAAGGAGTTTTACAAAAAGGCAGATGAATGCAACATTCTCTGTAGGCTATATGATATATTTCAACTGATTGAAGCCCATGCATAATTATTTATCGCAATTATTTTAATCATGCTGTTTAAATTCACCTCCCACTATGTTATTAGGTACTGTACACCATAAGTATGCTTGAACTGTTTTAGAGGTTTTCGAATTATTTAAAATTCATCGCAAAACAATCTTAAATTAATATTAATAGTTAAATTATAGTTAAAATAAACTCTAATAAGCTATAATAGAATTTTTTGTAGCTGTCATCAACACCAGAGAGGATTTTTACTACTATTCTAATTATTAAAGGATCGTCTCAGGGTGACCCTCCGAAAAATCACTGACTTTCGCGACTTTTTTTTTAGTGTTGAAATTTTCTAATCCGATTCCGACACTTTTTCGTAAAAAAATAGGAAGATTTCAATAAAAAAAATAAATAAATAAAAGTTTCCATAGCGAATAACGTTAAATATGTTCTCTTCAAATTGGAACTAGATATCTACAAAACTCTTCCTTTGAGAGTAGAAACCGTTTTGAAAAACACCATTTGGAGAAAAACACAAACGAGGCAGATGTCTGTCTTGCTCCTTTCCCAACTGTGTTCAATTTCTGTAAGAAACGACCGTAATCATTTGAATTTCGATTTCAAAATTTGACAGATTGTTTATTATAGTGTATACTATCCGATAATGCAACAAAAACTCTATTTCTCGAAAATTTCACAATGAGAGAAACCCTTAAGGCATCATTTTAGTATTGAAAATTCGAATTATGGGCGCTCCACATTTTTCTATTTTTATACCTTGAACAGGGTATATTAAGTTTACCACGAAGTTTATAACACCCAGAACGAAGCGTCAGTTTTTAAGATATCGTTTTGAAATTTTGTAAACATCATTTTCTCTTCAAGAAGCTGCTCGTTTGTACAAACTGAACGATCGGAATCAAGTTCTTTCACATTTATTATTTATTATTTTCTGATTGATCAAAATATTTACAGAATCATATGCGGTGGTACCGAAGCTATAATAGTCTTTATTGGTGCATTTCTTGTAGCATAACACGATAAAAATCGTTTTCGTGATTTTGATCCATCAGTTTATATGTACTATATATTACATAATATACATATGCCATATTTCATATCTTGTAAAATAAAAAATTTTCAATACAGGAATTTGATTTTAATTATGGCAACTTCTTATGGAGAAAATATTCTTTTTTTAATTGAATCCCATAGTTAAATTAATCAATAATTTGCTAATTTGACCGAAAAAACTCCAATTTTAACATTTGATGCTCTAGCGTATGCAAATATTTGCTTTCGCGTAGTTATACACATTATGTATATACATACATACATACATATGTATATCTCAAAGAGAATTTGCAATTTTAGAAGCTCTAAAATTCCATTTGCTAAAACACAATACGCACGTTTATAATTCACCGAAAGCTCGAAATTTCAAAGCCGAAAAGCTTCGGTAATTATATAAAGTCGATAGGGCAACTCAGAGAAAGAACCGCAAACAACGTTCTGAAGCAGCGAAAAATATTGGATAATTATTTTTGGTTTTTTTCATTGCACATTATACGTATACATATGTATATATGATACATGTGTGTAATAATATACATATACATACATATTTGAGTTTTGTTTTGGTTGAGGATACAACAAAAAAATAAAATGGTTGTACATATTTGTGCAGATAGCCGGCTGAAACCAGTTCGAAATTTCTGCAACTTGAACGGTTAATTGGCGGTAGGGTACATGGGTGAAATATATAATTGAATTATTATTTTAAGAAATTTGTATGCACACAAGTTACGTGTAGTTGTTTAAATAAATTGTTAAGTGAGACGAATGGAGCAAATTAATTATATTTTGACAAATTTATATTTCTTATGTACATTAACATATGTTTGTACGACATACTATACATACATACAAAATCAACAAAAAATAGACTGTCACACGACTAACTCAGAATCTGTAGTACTATATTGAATGTACACATGTACATCATGAATTCGTGGCTAATATAATACTTCAATTGGTGAAAAATAATCACAACATCAATATTTAAAATTTGTCTTTGTTTCAGCAGAAATTAAGAAGTATGAAGAATTTACTCATATTCGTAAATAAATTCATAGTCCCTCAGAGAACACATACATACATTGTAATAACGTTGAGTCAAAGTAAACAATTATGAAATGTGATATATGGACCTACAAAAAACTTTGAGTCATCGCGATGCCTTTGTATTATAAATGAAGTATAAGTAAAACTTTATTTATATTCAACGTTCAAATGTAAAACTTAATCAAATATACATATGTATTCTGTATGTAATTCAGAAATATATTTGAGAAATTTGTATGTAGGGTCTTTATATATTTTACTATTTTAAAATAATATGTTATAATAGTGCGATAAAACATTTCTCATATATTTTTGATTCTTGTCCATTCCGGGTTATGAATGCCTAACTGCCGTGGAGTGTATGTACAGACTAATGCTTTGCTATTTTGCAATACTTTTAAAGTTCTCTATAGAACATATACAAAAATGACTTTTGTGAATAAAAAATGGAAATGTCTACCATCTAAAGATTGGAATTTTTAAATACGTTTTATGTCGTTTTAATAACGTAAATTCCTTTAGAAGCTGATTGTCCTTGAACGAAAAAAGATTGGCCTAGCATTGAGACCATATATACATTTGTTTAGGAATAGTTAGAACTGAAAAACCCGTTCAGATTTTCACATTTTCATAATTTTTCATAATACTCATTGACGTTGTATTTCTTTTACTCACTGCACATTACATATTAATTGATAACACTCGAGAAATACATTGAACTACTACTGCCTTTCTTCTTAGATCAACATTTTATTTTGGCAATTTGCCAACTGACTTGCGCGTTACTAAATTTAACACTATGTCTTATTTATTGTGCGTGAGTTGTGCAGCTCATAAGACAGTTTTGTTTTGAGTTTAATAGTAATTAAATCTATGTATATGCTCAGGTATATCTACATATATATCTCTAGTACTTACTTATGTTTGGTAGAGTCGGAAAAGTCAGTAAATGTAGTGTTGCCCTTGTTTTTTGTAGGAACATTTTCGACTATTCTAGGCACTACATCGTCAACTGGCGTTAATATTGCTCCACTTAATAAATCACTTTTACTTTTGATTTGTGCACAGCTACCAATACAAAAGCATTCTAAGAGAACAATTAAAGACAACACAAGTATGGGAAGGCTTTGAATTTTTGCGTGGATAAAGGGACGAGTTGGAACACTATAATTGCTATGCAAATGTTGAAACATTGATTTTCCACTGTTTTCATTCGATAATTTGGACCCCAGCAACAGCTCTGGAGCTTGTGGACCACTTGAGGGAGCTAAACACCTCATAGAAGAGGTATTTAAGCCATTGGATGCGTTTTTTAATAAAAACTGTTTATTTCTAGTCCGTATTTGGCTTTTGTATGACTGTTTTCCTTGATTTTGCATTTTGAACTTTTATTTAACAAACTTTATTTAAATAAATTGGTAAAAATCACTTCTCCACTTTACAAAAACAATCAAAAACTACAGGAACATCAAATGATGCACTACACTTAACGAACAATTTCCAACTGTCAAATTCCATTACTTTCCACTGCTTTTATCGCTGTGCTCCTACGTCAGAGTTGCATTCAGTGTTGTCAGAAATGATAACTTCGCGCTTATATTGAGGGATTTGTGATAGCGGTAAATGTTCAGGAGAGGGGCTTTTCCAAAAACGTTCATCCATTTTCACGGGAAGTGTCTTAAAATTCGTATTTTTAATTCCAATTTACGAATATATACGGCGCGTTATCTACTTTTATGTTTTTTTTTGTAATAAAAGCTATTCAAAATATTATAATTTTGCATGATATTTTCGCTATATACGGCACCACTCTTCGAAATTCAATTGAGCACTAGTGATCGGTTTCGAAATATCGATACTCTCGATAATCGAGACTAAACAAGATTGATAAAAATTAGAGATACATAATAGAAAATAATAATAATTGAAAAAACAACAAGAAATTAAAATATCGATATTCTCAATATTCGAGTCTGAAAGAGAATTGGTAATAATTAGAAATACATAATATAAAGCTAATATTTTTCTTCTTAATTGGCGTAGATACCGCTTACGCGATTATAGCCAAGTTAACAACAGCGCTCCAGGTCCTTTTCCACTTGGTCCTTCCAACGGAGTGGAGGGCTTCCCCTTCCTCTGTTTCCCCCGGCGGGTACTGCGTCGAATACTTTCAGAGCTGGGGTGTTTTCATCCATTCGGGGAACATGACCTAGCCAGCGTAGCCGCTGTCTTTTAATTCGCTGAACTATGTCAATGTCGTCATATATCTCATACAGCTCATCGTTCCATCGAATGCGATATTCGCCGTGGCCAACTCGCAAAGGACCATAAATCTTTCGCAGAACTTTTCTCTCGAAAASTCGCAACGTCGACTCATCMGTTGTTGWCATCGTCCAAGCCTCTGCACCATATAGCAGGACKGGWATTATGAGTGACTTATAGAGTTTGGTTTTTGTTTGTCGAGAGAGGACTTTGCTTCTCAATTGCCTACTCAGTCCAAAGTAGCACCTGTTGGCAAGAATTATCCTGCGTTGGATTTCCAAGCTGACATTGTTGGTGGTTCCAAGATAGACGAAATTATCTACGACTTCAAAGTTATGACTGTCATGTTATGATACATGTTAGGACAGGAGATATTTCGTCTTGCCCTCGTCCCATCTTCGTTGCTTCCTTGTCCAGTCCGGAGAAAGCTGAACTAACGGTGCGGGTGTTGAGGCCGATGATATCAATATAATCAATTACGTGGCAGCTTCCAAGCCCAGCGTACAACCCTTTGCAGGGGATATTTCGCCTTCTCACTTTAGCCCGCCTTCAAACGGATGTTCTTAGGCTACCCAGAGGATACTTGGTCAAAGACTGGAAGTCGTGAGCTGCTTGAGATATATGTAAAAGAATCGTTTCTGGCCACTCCCAAGTGAATGGCGATCAGACAACTTTCCTGACTTGCGTGAACTTCTACGCATGACTCCATCCTCTAATAGGAAGATAATAATAACTGGAAAAATAAAAAGAATTTAAAATATCGATATTCTCAATACTCGAGTCTGAAAGAGAATAATTCAATATTTTTGCAAAAAGAAGAAGAAGTGGGACACTTCGAGCGCTCGAAAATAAATAACCCTGGTCGGTCCAAAACCCGGCTGTTCATTTTTTTTCTGTGTCCAACTTCTTCTTTCTGCAATAATAATGAATTATAAATTATCTTATTATATATTTCTCATTTTTATCAATTCTCGATTAGTCTCGAATATCGACAGTATCGATAATTTTAAAACGATCAATGCATGAATCAATAGTGGCCATTCGAATTTAAAACAGCGATGCCATAATTTCGAACATAACCTTGCCATTTTAGTTGAAGTGAAGTGATTGTGAAGTTTTTTATATTTTTATAAAAATAACATAAAAACCAATTTCTCTTATTTATAAAATAAACGACGTCAATAATTGCGTGTATATAATTGATAGAATATATATTTTTAGCATCTAAAGACATATTAAATGCAAAAGTGAATTTTTAGTTTCGGGAAATACGATGTTTTTGTATTAAAACAAGGAAAATATTGTTTTTAAAGGTACGCGCCATACATATTCGTAAAGTAGAATTAAAAGCGAGTATTTTAAGATATTTCCCATGAAAATTGGTGCACGTTTTCGGAAAAGCCGCTCTCCTGAACATTTACTCTTATTAATATTGAGTACTTATTTTAAAACGAAATTATGAAATTGAAAATAATTTCATCCATATGGGTGGCCACACCGACAAATTTAAACCGATAAGAAAAAATATCGCCCATCCTTAATAATTTTTGGTTCTGGTTTTCTAATAAAATATAACTATTTGTTATTTTGTGTACCCATATCGCTAAATTATGTTACCTAGTGATATACGGGTAAGTTATCGCGTTAACTCGGACAAACTTTAAAATAAGTACGAAGTGTCTAACGATCAGATAGGCTTTGTATTAAATTGGTATTTTTATGAAAAACATATTGGACTTATATATGTACATACATACAAACATATACATAAGTACATAACTACACACTTGAATATTACAAGGTTTGTGACGCATTATCATTCATAAAAATGTTCTATATACCACCACAATAAATGTGCACTTTACAATAAGCAAATAAGAAAAACGTTTAGTGTGATATCTCAAAACAAAGTTAAACTTGTGAAATAAATTTGTTTTGTGAACGAAAGGAAGATAAAGCGGTGGAATTGTAATCTTCCCAGTAATTCCAAATTTGCTATTTTCTATATATTAAAAGAACTTTAATGGAAATAAAAACAAATGGTTTGAAACAATCATTATAACACGTACACAAGAGTTTAGAAGGGTTTTGTCAACTTGACCTTATAAACTCATAGAAACTTTAACAGAAATCTCTGCATTCTAAATGGACATTTTTATGCACAAGAAAAATATTTTCGATTGAATGTGTTGAAGTGAAATTTATGAAAAAATTTAAGATTAAACATTAATTTTAAAAATAGTTTGTTTATTATCTTAACACAGACAAATACATAAAAAAGTGCAATTATATTAAGCCCTACGGCATGGATAAAATGGCATCATTGGCAAATGTTATAAAAAATGAGAGTTTTAACAGCTCTCTCTCGAATCAAAGAGTCTCGTATCATATTATCCATACCCACTGATTCGGCTGTCCCACATGTCATAGAACGGACGTGAAATGGACATTATATAAACCTACAAGCAACAAATTATATCATTTTCACCCATACATACACAGGTGAAAGCTTGTAGAATGACAGAAATTACATTAAGAATGCAATAGAATGAGGGAAGACTCAGGGCAAAAGCCAAGGCAGTTCGTTAGGGTTTTCTAAATATTCTACTATCTCAGCTGTTGACGACTATATGATACTTTTGTTAATTGTGTGTGTCTACAATGATTTGCTCTGTCTAATTGTATAATTCTTTGCATATAGGGATGTAAAAAGAAAAACGTTCCACTACATAGTTTTCGATGTTGCCACCATTCAAACAGGTGATTTGTATAACGTATAACAGATACTCATTTTTTTTATGTGTGGAACACAGCGACAGACTGCAGCAGCACGACAGTGAACTGAAAATGGCGTTGTGAATCCTACTACAAGAACGTTTGTGAGAGGGCAGCAACATAACAATGGCCGGCATGTACACAAAACAACTCAGTTGTCCATTTTGCATCTACACAATTTCGTTGTGGCCATACTAATACCTTGCACTTCAATGAAATTTTAATGTTTTGTTCAAAGTGAAATTTTTAAGCAAAAAATAGGTAAATAGGTAAATTTATTTGTTTTAAATTTTCAATTGTTATTATAAATGATGTAACAGCGCTATTTTATGCTTTTATTTGTAAAATACATCAGGCTTGTTAGAGCTTTGAGTAATTTCACATTTTACATATTAGTGCCATCACCACTCTACCTCATCTCTCTATCTTCCATTCTACTGAACTCTACTGTCGTTGGCAAATATAGGATCAAATTGAAGTTAGCGAGAACAACAACTGTCGGCCTGCAGTCGTGCAGCTGTCAAAAAGGGTCCGTCCATAAGGACGTGTGTATTTTAATATTTGACAGATGTCGTTTGCAGTCTGTCGCGAGCATTGTATTCCACACATGAAAGTAAAATTCGGTTGGTGCATAGGAATAGACAAAAATGGTAACTCTTTGTAAAAGAAGATGGAGGACATGTTCCACAATAACAACGACAAGGTGTATTCTATTTATGCAGTACATATTTAATATATACTAGGTTTCGTTATTTGTTAAACACAAAGTACAGTCGTCTGATAGACAGTAAAGAAGCGAGTTTATCCGTTCAGTGAATTATAAATGGTAATAACCGTACATTTTTTGATAGTGTTAATCATTATGTGTTTTTAATTGTATTAAGTTCAAACACAGGGCGTGTTCAATTTGCAGACGCGTTAATATTTACATTGCATTATGTATGCATATGTGTACATAACAGACTTGTAAGCGTTTATGCATATGCATTGCTAAAGTTCAGTATACATATTTAGTAAAGTATATGTATGTACTTTTGTATGTATATCAAATTGATGTATACATTTATTATTACTGTAGCTGGTCAGATGCAACGGCAGTTTATAAGTGATAATTTGGTTGCTAGAGATGTTACAACGTTGTTTTATAAAGTTTGGAACAACTTTTTCCAGTGTGAGAGCTCCTCAAAATTAGCGTTTTTTATAACATTTTTTCATTGTAGTTTTTAATTATTTTCAAATGAAAATGAATACTATTATGCATCACATGACGAAAAATTCATAAAATATATTTAAATTTCGAGTTTTTTCTTTAATTTTCGTTGGTGAGATGCTCGAAAGTTGGGGATCCGTTTATCTCAGATAGAAATGAGTTCGATTTAAATAATTTCGATTCCTTGATTTAGACGTAAAGTGAAGAGTAAACAGATGACGCTCTGAACACATAGAGTGCGACA